TCCCAGTAGGACATCCTTAGCACTGCTGCAGAAGTGGGAGAGGCTCCCGCCACTGCCACTGTGCCCGCCAACCGTGAGCCCAGCTCAGGGCTTCTGGCTGAGCAGCACTCTCCCTGTGGGAGCGCACTGACCACCAGGGGGCAGCTCCTGCATTGAGCGTCTGCCCCCTAGTGGTCAGTGCGTATCATAGTGACCAGTCGGCCCACCATTCGGTCAATTTGCATGTTAGCTTTTTATTATATAGGATTGCAGCAGGAATGTAGATTTGACTTAGACCCAAACTAGGATAGTGACAGATTGCTACCAAGTACTGCTGTATTGCCATTCAACACCAGCAGACCTACAATCAGAAAACCAAATTCATCCCAGAAAACAACCAAAATGTTCATCTATGGATGCATGGATAAAGAAAATGTGGTGTATGCATATAATGGAATATTATTCAGTCGTGAAAGAGAATGAAATCTTGCCATTTGTGACAGTATGGATGGACCTGGAGAGGATTATGCTAAGTGAAAAAAGCCAATTAGAGAAAGATAAATAACCTTACGATCTCACCTGCATGTGGAATATATTTTTAAAATGAACTCAGATACAGAGAACAGACTGCTGATTGCCAGGAGGGTGTGTGTGTGTGAGGGTGGGCAAATGGATGAAGTGGGTGGTGGTTAAAAGGTATAAACTTCCAGTTATAAAATATATAGGTCATGGGATGAGTAATGTATAGTGTGGTGACTATAGTTAATACTGTACTGCATATTTGAAAGTTGCTAAGAAAGCAGATCTTAAAAGCCCTCATCACAAAGAAAAAATTAGTTGTAACTCTTGATGATGGATGTTAACTAGACTTAGTGTGGTGGCCCTTTTTGCATTATATACAAATACCAAATTGTTATTTTGTACACCTGAAACTAATATAATGTTATGTGTTAATTAAACCTCGATGAAAATTCATCTTTATGATTCCTTTTCGTGTAATCTTTTATTATTTGGAGACTTAAGTCTATGGGGTAAATCAGCGAATGATTAGGATTTTTAATTGCATGAGCAATAAATTCTCAGTAGAAATTATAAGTACTCTGACAGCTGCCTAGAAGCCGATCAGTGTCGTTGGAGACACCAGAATGGCTCAGGTCCACAGTGCTTTGAAAGGAGAAAGGGGACTATTTTTATCTCCCCAGGAAACACATAACTTACACACTTCTTAGGCTTATCTAAACCTCCAACTTGGGAGGAATTAGGGAAAGTGTCATTTGGTGTCCTGCTGGTTGCAGAATATGTAAGAAACCATAGCTTAGATTTAACCTGGAGAATTATAGAGGGTTATGTGTCTTTAAAAGTAAAATGTATATTTAATGCCTTTCACAGTGCTTTGAGACACTTACAAAAATGCAGATGAGCCCAGATTTTCATTTTTTAGGAATCAGATTTGTACCTAGCTTATTCTGTATGCATTAAACATTTTCATAGTGCAGCTTATCACGTACAGCCCAAACTGTAATCATGCAACTTAGCCTTTTCAGAATGAGGTCTCTCATCACCAGTATTGGGGACAGGGCTGGGATTAGGGTGAGGCAAGAGAAGGCACCTAGGGCGCAAAATTCAAGAAAGTACTCATTCATGGTGCCAACCCTGCACTTGCAAGACCTCTAGACTGAGTGCCTTCTTAAATTCTGCATTCAGGGTGTTTTCCTGGCCTCACCCTAGTCCCAGCTTGATCAAGGGTCCCTTGAGGGTACTTTTAAAAAGCGCATTGCTAGGTTAGATCCAAAACCTATGCAAAAAAAATCTCTGTGGGTGGGGCCAGGAATCTGCATTTTTACCTTTAGTACTTTTAATGCACACTGATGTTTGAGGACCCTCTGAGCTTGGTTGGCAAGCCTAAGGCCCAACAGGAAAAATGCTGCTCCGCTAGCTTCAGGTTATGACTGGGACAGTAGCTGAAAAGTCTGCCTAATTAACCAGCACACGGAGCAAGTAGGCCAGCCCTGGCTGTTGTATAACTACTACCAGGTGTCACGCTGGAAGGCTTGGACCGGGCAGCACTTATAACCAAAGCTAAATGTGATTGATTATGTAATTTTGAGGTGTTCCAATTTTTTAATTAAAAAAATGTTTTATAGGTTCATTATTAGCTACATATTCATTGTAAACAAAAACATTTAAAAAATAATTTTAAAAGAATAAAATAGAAATGATCCATAACCCTATCACCCAGAGATAACCATTGTTAACATCTTAAGTATCCTTTCAGCCTTTTTTTTTCTTCCTGTTGAGTCAATTGTACTAAAAGTCATCATGTGGCATTAGGAAGGGTGAGTGACAAAAGGAATATTGGTATGAGGAGATCTGTCTTATGAACTCAGGCACATTTGAGTCCTGTCTAGTTATCTTTGCTGCTGTCTATGTGGTGTGGCTCCTCCTCTCTCAACATTAATCTCAGTATTAAAAGGAATTCACATGTCCCGGTATGTATGTATGTGAGTTTCTTAACTGTGCAGAAGTAGTAGAAATAGTGTCCCTACACAGGAAAGTTGACCTTAGGCTATTTTTCCAGGTCCCTTCTTGTGACTCTAATTGAATTCCTATGGAATAGGAGGGATTTGTTCTTTTGGGAGAGACGTAATCATTCAACAGCTCTTTCTGTGGGTCCTCCACAGGTCAAACTCTGCTAGGGGTCAAGGGTACAAACAGACGGAGGAAGTGCAGCCTGGTGGAGGAGTGTCCGGTGATCTAAAGTCCCGCAGGAACAGGGAGGAGGGACCAACCACCTTGGCTTTGGAGAGTTGAGCATGGCTTGGAAAGGAGGTGACACTGGAATTGAGTCCAGAGAGACCCACCGAAGGCTACCTGCAGTCTCCAGCAAATAGCTGGGTTCTAAAGCTTCACTTTTTTTGTGTTATGTCCTACTTTCCGGTTTGATCACACAGTTGCCCATGATAATTAAACGAAGCTTGCCAGATGGATGCTTTCGCACGGCGATGGCTCGGTTTCTTGCTCTATTTGTGAAAGCTGGCACTGGGTCCAAAGTCTCAAGGATGCCCTACCTTGAGATTGCTTTGGAGTGTTGCTCTCTTGGGTGTCTAGCCAAATGGCCAGCCCATCAGCAGGGCCAGGTTGAGTGACAGGTGGGTGTGCCATGCATGTGGACACTCTGATCCCTGCCAAGCTGTTTTGCCTGCAAGGAGTTGAGGTGCTGAGAGGTTGTTCTACAAAGATGTCAATTATCAAGTGGTACCTTCCTTTGAGGAAATAAGCTCCCTAAGCCTCTGACCCATCAGTCTTTCCTTCTCACCACAGAGTTTTCCGATCAGCTGCAACATAATTGATGTCAAAAATTCCCAATTTATCAGATTAAAATACATACACAATTTCACACTTTCTTAAAGAAGCAATTTTTAGGTCATGGAAGAGAAAATTTAGAGTGGCAAATGTAGTGAACTTAATTGGTAGCAAACTTGATTAACCAAGGAGGGTGGGCACTCTGAACAGAAAAGAATAACTTAATCATTAATAATGGTTTAATTTTTGCAAATTGTTCTTAGTTTTTTATTTATTTCTGTGAATCATTCTTGTCCTCCATCTCCCTATTAAGTGGGTACTATTTAATTAGTGAGGCATATCCATTGGTTGCTTTCCTCACACACTCTGACCCAGTTCCAGGGATCAAACCTGCAACTCAGGTATGTGCCCTTGACCAGGATTAGGATCCAAGATCATTGGTGTGAGGGTTGATGCTCTAACATTGAGCATAGCAGCCATGGCATAATTAATGACCCATTTTACCCGTGAGGAGACTTGATGGAGGCGCCCAGAACTGGTGAGTGTCGGAGCCGGTGTGCAGGGCTGTCTACCACACATGTGGCCTCCCGAGTCCTGTACTTACCTGGGCACTCGGTGCTGCACCAAGGATCCAGGGTGAGCACATTGCCGTCCTTGCCATTCAGATGTTATTCAGCGGTTCTCAACCTGTGGGTCGCGAACAATGAAAATACATCCTGCATATCAGATATTTACATTACGATTCATAACAGTAGCAAAATTACAGTTATGAAGTAGCAATGAAAATAATTTCATGGTTGGGGGTCACCACAACATGAGGAACTGCATGAAAGGGTCGCGGCATTAGGAAGGTTGAGAACCACTGGAGCTTGCTCGTTATCAAAGGGTTAAAATGCTCCAGATATATTACTAATAGCACAACTGAGCATAAGTTCATCCCCTTCCACTTTAGAAATAATCTGGAGAATTTGCTTTAGGGCACCCTTGATTGAATATCCGTTGATTATTGTAGTTACACAGAAATGTCAAATTAGAGCATTCCTGCTGATATAATTTACTCTTTTGGTGATTGTACTCAGGTTTAGATAAATGTATGAATAAAACTCTGGGGCTGGTTTCCTCCTCTAATTTTGTATTTTGCATCTGAAGTAAAAATTTGGAGTTAAAAGCCCATATTGTATTTTACTCTTATGTTTTGGGTTTTCTGTGAATAGGGTGATCCAGCTCTTTATCTGTACCAAGTCTTCACCTCCCCCTCTAGAAAAGAGGGAATTCTTGAAGGGGGAGCTTTGCTTTTCCTGTATTTATTCATTCCAGTCCCCACATTAACTTGAAATCCCAATGTCGGGAATTTCCACCTTTAGAATAATCGGGAAGTGTTAGTGCCTTCGTTAGAAGCAGTCTTTCAGCTTCCCACTCCCTGGAAACGGAGCCCCTGCCAGGTGGTCCCTCCCTCCGCTTCCCCCATCCCCGGATCAGAGCTCTCAGAGACCCCACATCTGCAGGGTGCTCTGTTCTAACTGTGGAAGCCTTTCCTGGGCTGACCTTCACACCCCTCTCCCTGGACCTTCCATGCACTGGTTTGGATTCTTCCCTCGAGTAACATGTTCCCTCAAGGTCGTCTCCAGCCTCACGAAGGTTCTGAGGGTTCTGAGCGGCGTGAGTCTCGGGGATGTTCTCCAGCCGTCTGATGTGTGGCTACTTCTCTTTTCCTGCAGCAAAGCCAGAAATCTTGACTTCTGAGAGGCTCATGAATGGCATGCTCCAGTGCGTGGCAGCAGGCTTCCCGGAGCCCACAATAGATTGGTACTTTTGTCCAGGAACGGAGCAGAGGTGAGATGATTGTTTTTGTTACCACTTGACATGCAGAAGGGAAGGACTGCACTTCGGCTGAATTTCAACTACGTTTTCAGATTTTTTTCCTCCCAAAAAAGCTTTGTTTCGAGGATTCTATTTTTCTGTCCGTGTGGCTTTTGAGACGGCATAATTGCTATATTTTTCTTGGTAGACATTAATTTTGTTTGCTGAAAATGATTACTGAATGACTTCTCTATTTTGATGGTTATCTTTTTGGATTTATCATGCAATTCTAGCCCGCAGGTAGATAAAGCAATTTTCCAGGACAGAGTAATTAGGTTTCCATTCTGTACACAGGAGGTAATGTGTCTGGGAAATGTGGCTGTAGTTATTGTGAAAAAAATTACCTCAGAAGTTAATTGCCAAGTTACCAAAAAGTAATGATCGTGCGGTTATAACGTGCATATGGCGTTTGTCAGCTCCGAGTTCGGAAGCGGCTTTCTTGGTGATGAGGTGCCCAGCCCCTGAGCAGAGCACATCTGGCTTTGTGCTTCCTCTCCCCGAGAACCCACACTTAAGCCTTAAATCGCCCTTTCATATTACCTGAAGATGAAAATGGGGTCAACCTTGCTGTTTTTATCCAGCAAATGGTATTTTATGCTCGGGCTTTAAAAGCCCGGTGTAACATCACAATTGAATAGTGCGGATAATAACAGAAATTTTATTTTTCATGGAATAGACCTTTTTATCACAACAAGTGGGAAGAGGTTGCATAGGATTGTGGTTTTCAGCTGAGTTTGAGTGGAATGTTTTCTTGGGGGAATACCATATCAATCATGATTTTAAGTCTATTCCGTCATTGGCCATGTCACCTCTGGTAATATCTACATTGCAATAATAGGGTTGGTTCAAGACCCCTGAAAAGTCTGCCCATAACAGAAGAAACCCCAGTAATTATAGTCAGCCATTTAGCAATTACTTATGGTGCGCCAACTGTATGCCCGACACTGGTCTAGGGAACAAAATACACCCAAGTCCCGGCTTTGGGAGCTCATGTTTAAAGGGTGGAGATGGACAAAGAAAATAAAGAGCTAATGCAGGCAGGTATTAAGTACTAAGGAGGAAGACAGAGCAAGGTAAGGAATGGAACACTGCTAGGCACGTGGGAGTGGGGTGGGGAGGGATAATTTAAATAGACTCATCAGGGTCTGGCTCTTCATGGTCTTTGCCACCTGGAGTGCATCCTGGCTGGACAGCCTGCACCTCCCGGCATAGAACCTCCAGTGGGTCCTCACGGCTGGGGTTCTGGGGGTTGCCTGTGGTCATCGTGTTGATACAAGGCTTTCTTGCTCCATGCTTTTCCTCTTCAACCTTTCACTATTAGTTTATTTAAGTCATTTCTGTTTAACAATCCAAGGTGAGTCTTATCCCAATGTTACAGTGGTAGGAACTGAGTCTTGTAGATTTTGAGGTAATTTGTCAGGAGTCAACAGAATAGGTGTTTGAATCACGATTCAAACCCAAAACCTCCTCTCTCCATCTTCTCTTCCATGGTGCGTTCCCACTCCCTGTGCCACGGAAGGGCTCACTCGTCCTCAGACGCTTCCGGTTGCCAGAGGAAATTTCCAGTTATGAAACCCTAACTTAGTTTGAAAAGAATGCCAAACCCAGGGTGTTTGAGTGAGGGTGATCCTGGAGTAAGTCTGGGCTGTTGTTTGCTTCCCCCTAGATGTTCTGTTCCTGTTGGGCCGGTGAATGTGCAGATACAGAACTCCTCTGTGAACCCGTTTGGCAAGCTGGTGGTTCAGAGTTCCATCGATGACAGTGCCTTCAAGCTCAACGGCACGTTCGAATGCAGGGCTTACAACGATGTGGGCAAGAGTTCTGCCTTTTTTAACTTTGCATTTAAAGGTAACAGCAAAGGTATATTTCTTTTTAATCCAATTTAAGGGGATGTTTAGGCTCTGCTACCATATCAATCATGACTTTAAGTCCATTCCATCATTGGCCATGTCATTTCTGGTAATATCTACATTGCACTGTACTGTCATCAAACTCACTAAGTTTCATTCCATACTAGTCTGTTAATAAAATGTATGCAGTAATTTTGACCATGTTACTATATGGATCTTACACATGTGTGTGCACATATCTATGTATGTATGCATGCATGCATGTGTGTATACATATAATGCATCATAAAGTTCATGCAATAGTTGTTTTTATTTAAAAGGAGTAGAGAAGGAAAATGGGGGAATATATTTTCCTTATATCGACACAGAAACAGAATCAGGATATTCTGAATTTAAACATTTATATTCCATATAAAATCAGTTATTTTAACACATTGCCAGATACTATATCAGAAAGTTAACATTGCCTTTTATGAAGTCATGTTAGTGAGCTGTTTCTTTAACATCTTTAAAATTTGATTCATGAGTGACTGGCTCTCCTAACAGGAGTTAAATGATCCTTGTGGACACATTGATGAATTGGCATGACGTTAGAAGACAAAGAAACTGAGCACCTACATTCTTAGGGCTCACTTTTTGTTTTCCTGAGTTGGCAAAGGCGAGTGCCAAAAGTGGTGTATTTTCAGTTTTTGAGTAATGAGGGGAAGAATTCTTACATTGTTCTGCACCATAGATTTTTTTTTCCAGACGGGGCAGTAAAAAGAACACTTTAAAAGTGTTTTTCTCAGTGTAGGAAACTTGGAAAACACAAGAAAGCATAAAGAAGAAAATAGAAACCACCCATAAAGGACATTTCTTAAAAGTTGTCGAAGGAAGGAATTTGGTTGAAGTACAAAGTTCATTCAGATGTTGCTTTTCATTGACCAAGGGCATAAAATTACTTTTGTGCTATAGGCATCTCAAGCTCTCTTCCCACAGTATCTGGTTCAAAATTATTTTTAAAAGATTCCCTTGAATAACAGAGTAAGATGATAACCAAGGCAAGCGGCTGGGATGTGCACGGCTTCGAATGGCGCCATAGGCTGTGAGATGGGAGGCGGGTGGTTTGGGGTAGATGGTGTGGTGAAGACCCCGTCCTGCGGACAGGTTGTGATTTCACGCTCCTCTTTCATTTTAGAGAAAATCCATTCCCACACCCTGTTCACGCCTTTGCTGATCGGTTTTGTGATTGCGGCCGGCATGATGTGCATTATTGTGATGATTCTTACCTACAAATACTTACAGGTAACTATTCGTTTGTTCTCTGCCCCGAGCGCTGTAATGATTGACACGTTGATCATTAAAAGAAAATCCATCTTTTCCTTTCTCCCCCCACCAGAAGCCCATGTATGAAGTACAGTGGAAGGTTGTTGAGGAGATCAATGGAAACAATTATGTGTACATAGACCCAACGCAACTTCCTTATGATCACAAGTGGGAGTTTCCCAGAAACAGGCTGAGTTTTGGTCAGTATGAAACCGGGGCTTTCCAAGGAGCCTGTCTGTGTTCGCATAACCATGACTTTAGGGAACCCCAACAGCTTCCCTTGTTTTCTCCCACCTGAGGCAATAAATGTTTTCTGTGCAAAGTCACCGTCTTTGAAAGATTTGGCATCAAGCATGTAGGGAAATGTATCTAAACCCATGTCCTTAATTCCATTGTGAAAATCACACAGATGGCCCTTTGGTCCCACCAGCTCACTTGGTTGCCTTCCTTTCTGCAGGGAAAACCTTGGGGGCCGGCGCCTTCGGCAAAGTGGTGGAGGCCACAGCATACGGCTTGATCAAGTCGGATGCAGCCATGACTGTTGCTGTAAAGATGCTCAAGCGTAAGTTTCTTCGGGCCACTGCCTGTCTTCAACACCAGTTTGTCGATTCTTTTTATTTTTTATTTTTGCTAACATAAGGCGTTTCTCGTTTTAGCGAGTGCCCATTTAACAGAACGAGAAGCCCTCATGTCTGAACTCAAGGTCTTGAGCTACCTCGGCAATCATATGAATATCGTGAATCTCCTGGGAGCGTGCACCGTCGGAGGTAAAGCCGCCGCCAACTGGTCTTTGATGATCTGTCAGTGACTCCCCTCTCCCAGTTACTGTTCTGGAGGCTGTGTATTTTAGTTTTATCACCATGGGTGGGGCAGCCCAGGACACACCTTAGTGACTGCGCTGTCTGTGTCCTCAACAGTGACCTCTTGCATATCTCAAGAAGGATGTCTCGTCTTGCCCAGAAAGCTTTTCTTTTTATCTTGTAGGATTTCTATTTTGCTGCCTCATATTTAGTCACTCAAGGGTTAAGATTCATTTTCATACTATAATTAAATGGAGGCCTTTAAGCCTACCAGCTCTCAAATATACACCAAATGAGGCAAACACTTCACTTTTGTTAAAAATAAGTTTCCAATTCTGAAGCCTCGGTTGAGCCTCCCATCCCAGGATTCATTTTGGACGAAAGGAACAAAGCTGTGTGAAAGGAACTGTTCCCGGAGATCTGGAGAGCTCCACGGTCAAGTTGACAACTTTATATAATTTCTTAAAACAGGCCCCATAGCCGTTGCTTCACCACATCATGAATTGTTCATGAGAAACTTCTGCCCATGTTAATTAGTTGCCTGTGAACTTCAGAGCTGCCGTGTTAGGCATTCACAACACCAAGAAAATGTTCGACTTAGGAGTGCTCAGAACACAGGTGATGGTGATGCCCTGTCATTTCAGGGCTTCACCCTTTTCCTAATGGGTCTCAGCTGGCTTTTCCACGTGGTTGGCTTTCCTATTATGCTGCAGCACGTGCCATCATTTCCATGACAATGTGAGCCCCACTGTGTGTAAGCAGAAGTGAGTCCAAGGGTTCAAATAGGAAGTTTGATAATGGTATAGCCAGAAGTCACACCTACCCCTAACCACTCACACACATGTAGGTTAAAAGGGGCTTGCTTGTTTAGTTTTATTCACATAAGGCTGCTTTTTGGTAAGCAATGCTGTTTTGTTTTTTTTAATATATTTTTATTGATTTCAGAGAGGAAAGGAGAGGGAGAGAGAGATAGAAACATCAGTGATGAGAGAGAATCACTGATTGGCTGCCTCCTGCATGCCCCCTACTGGGTATCCAGCCCGCAACCCAGGCATGTGCCCTTAACCAGAATCGAACCTGGGACCCTTCAGTCCACAGGCCAATACTCTATCCACTGAGCCAAACCAGCTAGGATGATAAGCATTGTTAATAATTGGATTGTGTTGGTACTCGGTAAGCTTGTCCGTTGTTCCTGGCTTGGATCACCATTGGGCATTTTTCTGGGAGGCAGGATTAGTCTATATAGCTCAGCTCTTTCTAACCTTTTCTTTTTTGCTTATAGGGCCCACGCTGGTCATTACAGAATATTGTTGCTATGGCGATCTTTTGAATTTTTTGAGGAGAAAACGTGATTCATTTATTTGCTCGAAGCAGGAAGATCATGCAGAAGCGGCACTTTATAAGAACCTTCTGCATTCAAAGGAGCCTTCCTGGTAAGACTGATTTACATAAACAGTCAGCTGTTGACAGGCAGTTCTGGGGTCATAAGGGTTTGCAATCAAGGCTGATTCTTTAAAAAAAGTGAACTGAGGTACTTTGAGGTGCAAAATCAGAATTATTAAATCATTTAAATGTGATTAACAGTTTGCAGAGTTTAAATCATGCTTTTAAAGATTCAGGTAGTCTTAAACTTAGATTTTTGCTGACATATTTTTCTTTAATGCATATTTAGTTTTTTCCTAAGCTTTTGTTCTGTTCAACAGAATGAACTCTATACCTGTTTCTCTTATCATGGCTCTGCTCTTGTGTGTCATTCCATTTATCCTGTGGCACTGGTACTGTATGCATCTTTACAGTGAGACACCGTTTATAGGAAAATGCGCAAGCTTGTCAAGTCGTGACAGTAAATTCCTTTAAAGCCTTTAACAGTATGGCAGAAAGCTCTGAACCTAACTGCTTGTAGGTTTCTCGCCATCTACCTCTAAATTATTTCTATATACCTAACCCTTCAAAAAAACAAAATCAAAACCTCATTATGCTATAAAAAGGGCACATTTAAAGAAATTCTGTACCTTATTTTCATCTCTTTCATCATCGGTAACATTCTGAATTTAAATGATGTGTAAAGAGCTTCAAGTTCTTTTAAGGAGAATTAGTGTGGTTTACAACCAGAATAGAAATCATCTCTGCCATGCCTGCCTCTTTTTTACAAATGTTAAGTTGCGCCACTAAAGAAGGTTTCCTGGATTCACTCAGCCCAACAGAAATCCTACTTCTCATGCCCAGCCCCTTATTCTTTATATTTCTGCATTTGTGCAGTGGGTTTCTCCTCTCCTTTTTATACTGTTGCCCCTGTCTTTAGAGATGGCAAATCTATCTCCTAACCAAGCATGTCAAACTCGCGGCTGGTAGGCCGCATGCCAAACGAGCTGCCGGCCGCAAGTTTGACATGCTTGTCAACCTGTTAACTCCAGACCATTAAGGAGACCTCAGGAAACTTTACTGATGGGCAGTTGCCTCTTCAAGCCCTTTTTTGTACCTGTGGCTAAGGTTTTAAACCCCAGGTGAAGCTTTTACTTTTTTTAAAATCCTTTAAACTTGAGTACCATCAAGTGGTAGTAAAACACGATACCAACCACCTTTTGTTAGTTCCTCCAGAGCAAATGCTCCTTCTATGAGTAAAGGAGCCTTATTTCTAAAGCTTTGATCCCATATGTATTTTTTATTTTTTAACTTTCTGAAATAATGGCCTAAATTGTTCAGTCCTGTGTGGTGTTCTTTGTGCTTTGGGATCCCATATGGGACTGAACCATCCGCACATTCTGAGGGAGATAGTTGTCATGGTGTTTCTATGCTAATCACAAGCAGGAAGTACTAGAAATCTTGAAGACTCTCCAGCCAAATGTTGCAGATTCAAGAGGTCCAGATGGTTCAGAAAATCATCCAAATTATTGGTGTTTATCTGAACCAAACTTGGTTTTTTTAAACCTTCTTCCATCAGTTGCTATATGTTAATGATCCCTGTCTTCTCCCCCATAACACATCACAGAAGCTCTGGTTCTTTGTCTCTTTCATCTTGTCTCTTGGGGCTAATTTAGAGAGTTTGAAGTAATGTAGAATGATGCTTTTTTTGGCTTTTTTCCCATTAAATCTCCAGTGGCAAGGGATGGGAAATTTCTAAACTGAGTACCGTCTATGATTGAACACACACAAAAAAAGCCATCTAATTCCTATGGATTGGACCTTAATGTTGAATGTTAAAAATTCACCTCTTAACTGAACAAGGTTTTCTTCATTCAAATTTGGCAATATTTTTTTTGAATAAAATCAGCCTGTTATGTAAAAAGGGATGGGGACTTAGAACCTGGCCCTTAGGTGTTCCCCCCATTTCCCATTTTATTCGATCATGATTTGATGGATGTTTTATCTCTCCCAGTAGTGACAGTACTAATGAGTACATGGACATGAAACCCGGAGTTTCTTATGTTGTACCAACCAAGGCAGACAAAAGGCGATCAGCAAGGATAGGTGGGTACCCATCAAGTAATGAAATCGACTTCATTTACAGAGGATTTCTCAGACCACTGTGGAGTAGAACACCATTCCTGGTACTGACCAGTTCTCCTCTATTGTAGGGTCCAGTAGCAATGCCGTTCATGGTCAGTGACAGTTAAGGTTTTTAAGAGGGTCTACAAGACCAGAACCCGGGTTATTGTATTGAAGCATCTTAATGCATCTGTGAAAATATATGCATGTCAAACATGTATTTTGCATGTGAAAATACGAGATTTTTGTGCTAATCCACCATCCTTCTCCCCTGATGATTGTGTATAACCTTGCCCCGGATTGTGAATATGACTTTGTGATTCAGTATCTACCCGTCCTCAACACTGGGGAGGTCATTGGCCTGCAAGTTCACATCAGTTCATGCGTTACCTTTGGTGTGACTTCTGTCACCGTCTTTTGTTTTCCTCGCCTTTAAGGTTTCAGTTGCTAAGAAAATCTCTCTCCTCTCAACAGGCTCATACATAGAAAGAGATGTGACACCTGCCATCATGGAAGATGATGAGTTGGCCCTGGACCTGGAAGACCTGTTGAGCTTTTCTTACCAGGTGGCGAAGGGCATGGCCTTCCTGGCCTCGAAGAACGTAAGTGGGAGTGGTTTTCAGAAGAGCCTCTCCTTCCAGAATGAAGCATTTTACAGCCGTAGTTAGAGTGCAGAGTGTCATTTTGAAGTGTGGTAACCAAAGCAGAGGAAATGTAGTTTCTTCATGTTCCAACTGCTGTCTGTTTAGAATTCCTGCTCTCATTTATAAGACTTAAAGTGTAATTCTGTCTAAATGAGCTTTCTATGAATATTTTTTATGTGCAATGAATTCATTTAAACCTTTTGGCTTTTAAGATATAGAAGCTATTCTTAGAGAATAGATAGCTATTTTATCAGCAGAAGCTAGGGGAAGTGCCTTACGTAGTTGCAGTGCTTGGTGGGGTTTATTTACTTGGGTTTTATTGAAGTTAGACTATTAACATTGCATGTATGGTTTATAAACTGTTGGGGGAATAGGGATCAGAGAGAATAATAAACATTTGGGAAAAGACTGGGGATAGGAAGAGAATGAGGGAACCAAAACGAGGAACGTGGTCTCTGTAAGGGTGAGAGGAATTCCCAGGAAGTGGGATGACCAGAATAGCATAAGGTCACAGATCCAACTTTTATGTGTCAATGGTGACATTTCCAAACAGTTATCAAACTAAAAGGGGATATGGGGTGGCTGAAATAAAGAGCTTCTCCCTGTGTCCTTGGGAGATGTCAAGTTGAAGTTGCAAAGACATGTTAGAAACTCCTATCAAAGAACATTCACAGAGAAGCATGCAAAATGAGTTTTCTTTGTAAAAAAAATAGGATACGATTATTTAATGTATTTTCCTATGAATGAAAGCAGCCCCAAGAAAGCATTTATTCAAGTTGGTTTTGGAAAGTGATTATAGTAATTAAGGTCCTAATGATGTGAAACACAAATTTTGAGCATCATTCAAGGCATAATTTAGAACACTTATTTTTGGTGCACTGGGTAGTTTAAATGTAAAGCAAACGTATTGGATGTGTATAACATATGCAGCACTCTAGTATTAAACATAGTTTTCACTCTTTAAAAGTTTAAAATAAATTTAAATGGCTTCTCCCCTCGCCCCTCCCCCTTTCTCTCCTGATAGTGTATTCACAGAGACTTGGCAGCCAGAAATATTCTTCTTACCCATGGTCGAATCACAAAGATTTGTGATTTTGGTCTAGCCAGAGACATCAAGAATGACTCTAATTATGTGGTCAAAGGAAATGTGAGTATCTACTCTCTCCTTGACAGTCCAGTGAAGATTTTAGTTTCAAGTTTTTATAAGAATTGTTTTTTATGATTTTCATAATGCAAATCCTACCTTTGAGGGACCATGCATTTTAGCCGTCACATTAAGTGTACTTCAGCAAAATTTGCATGGTATGCTGAACAGCACAACTAACATTCCGATAATAGAATTCCTAATTCTAATTGTGTAATTATGGGGCATGTGAAGGAAGCAGAAATAGCCTTAATTTTCATTGTAGCCTGAGAATAGCAATGAACTCAATTTTGCTCCAGTGAAACAAACGTGGACCTGAAGGTCACAGCAGGAGAATTTTATTTTGAGATTGACATGCCATGTGAAAAAGATTAAAATCGAAGGTAATGTACAGAGTTAGGTATGAAGAAGAATCTGACAATCAATAGAGAGCTTATTAAATAGGTTCATAAGTTATAATTGGTTTATAGAACATAGTGATTTTATTTCTAAGTGCTTTATTTCATTGCCGTTCTCATTGTATCGCAAACCCTTGGCATTAGAATGCAGTGTCTTCACATTTTAAGAGTTGCAGTGTATTTTAGTGATGTTTGTCTGAGATACACCGGTTGTTAGAGTCTGAAACCAGAGTGCTTGATTTCCAGAGCAGTATCCCATTAGTATGGGAAGTCATGTAGTCCTGTGTCTATATTCTTCTGCATCTATTTTCCCAGACCCATTTCTATAGTCCGGATTTATTCCTAGAGGTAGCTTATGATAAGGTAATATTTTCTCCTTCATCATTATGGCATCTCTGTGGATTGGCTACCCTTGACTTGGGTTTGTAGAAACAAGTGCTAGGTTTAACTTCTAATCAAAGCATTTCTTCCCTCCCTCAAACCCTCCCTTCCTCTTCCCCTTCCTCCATCTCTTTCTCTCTCTCTCCCTCTCCTTTTTAAAAATAATTGATTTAAGAGAGAGAGGGATGGAGCGAGAGAGAGAGAGAGCGAGCGACATTGATTTGTTGTTCCGCTTATTTATGCATTCATCGGTTGCTTCTTGTATCTGCCTTGCCTGGGGATCGAGCCTGCAAGCTTGGCATATTGGGATGACACTCCAACCAACTGAACTGTCTGGCCAGGGTCAACACATGCATTTTAAATTAGTCTCTTCTGAGGCTAGAATTCATCATTAGGAGCTTTAATAAAACCGTGTTCTCTCCATCCTGGTGCACTGTTGGAAGGAAGAATGTGAGGTGGCTCTTTATCTAGGCCTCTCAATAGTGACAGAGGGACAAAAGGAAGAAGGCTGCAGCTTCTGGACCCAGTCTCGCCGGGCTCAAATCTGGTCCATCATTTAGTGGCTGTGTAGTATTTGGCAAGAATTATCCGACACTTACGAACATCGGTTTTTCTCCTCTTGGGAATGATACTGCCAGCTGCCTCATAAAGTTGCAAGGAGGATTAAATCAATATATATAAAACGCCTAGAATAGAGCCAGGCGCATTGTGGCTAATACTTATATGGCACTTATTATTTCATAGCTGTCTTACTTGAAATATAAATAATCATGACAATGGTGATGCTGCAGTTCCTTACTGCTTGTTATTGGTTGGAATAACAAGGATGGGTTAGTTCCCACCAGCTTCCATATTGTGGGCTCCAGCTCAAGCCAGGTGAACTAACCAATCACAGATGTCACTTTCACCAGGCTACTGAATAAGGAAAATTTGCAGACAGGTTAAAAGCAATGAAACTCACACAGTATGTTACTACCCCCAAAGTTACATCCTCATCATCTGAGCTCTCTTTGTTGTGTCAGTTTCCCTGGAAATCCTTTCATTTTGCATCGGTTCTCCTTAAATTTTTGTGTCAGGGTTTCCTACCCTGGAAAATCCTATGGATCTTTTGTCAGAACATTGTTTTAAATGCACAGAATAAAATAAGGAGGATAACCAAGAAACGCAGTTAAACTGATCAAAATATTAAAAAGTAAATTTGTGATATGACAATACATGTGCTTTGTTACATAGAATAACATATTCTAAAAACTACTATAATTTCAAAGTTGTGATGAATGTAAATACTGTACTGTGATGATGATCTCCATGATTATATTGGTGACAAAGTCACAGGTCCTGCTCAGTCTACTGTGCTTTATTGCCTTCATTCATAATTTAAGGAAATACTAAACTTCATTTAGAAGTTAGTGTAAACAAGAATGTAATCTCTTCCCTTTTAAGTTCACAGGCACCTGGATTCAAGATACTTGTAGATTGCAGGTTAAGAGCCACCGTAAGAGATTTAGCACAACATTTCAGGGGCAGGGGAGATACTGGAAGAATTTTCCCCACCCCTATGGACTGAAATAACTTAAAGACTATAAGAAATTGTCTTCTTAATTTTAAACTCTAAATGAGTTAAGAGGAGGGTTGATTTAGTTTTCTGTGGTAGATTAAGAGGATCAGTCACGAAAAGTTTGGCTCAGTTTTAGCAGAAAGGGTTCAGGATGTGAAATTCAGCCCTGAATCTGCCCCTCACCTTCTTGGAATAGTCATAATCATCATCAACCGCTGCTGTTTATTGAGTGATCGCTTATGCAAGACCATTTCTCAGCTGTTAGGGAGTCAGGCAGGACTGTGCTAAGCACGCTGACCCACATTATCGCATTTAAGCCACAAAACAACTCGTGACATTTGAAGTATTTTTGTTTTATAGAAGAAGCTTAGTTACAGATGTTTAAGTGACTTGCCCAGTGCATAGTTTCAGTTGCATATTAAAGAAAAAGAAATATAGGAGTACGGGGCCAGGCCTGTTAAGAGGCCCTGTGAAATACTCAGGGACCAAATCTCTCCCCTTTCCGATTTTTTTTTAGTTTACCTAATTGTGGAACATACATCTTTATTGATTTCAGAGAGGAAGGGAGAGGGATGGAAACATCGATGATGATGATGATGATGATGATCATGATAATGATAGAAACATCAGTGATGAGAGAATCATTGATTGGCTGCCTCCTGCACACCCGCTACTGGGGATCGAGCCTGCAACCCTGGGCATGTGCCTGACCAGGAATTAACCCGGGACCTCCTGGTTCAAAGGTCGATGCTCAACCACTAAGCCACACCAGCCGGGCCCTTTTCCGTTTTTACCATCCCTGGGTGTAGCCCTGGCTTCGTAGTCCAAGATGACCACCACTAGCCAGACACACCACATCCAGAAGGCAAGGTAGAGGAAAGGGCAGAAGGACATGCCAACTGTATTTTAAACTTTTTCCTAAAGCTTCCATACAACAGTTATAACTCATTGTCTTAAACTGAGCCACATGACTACACCTCACTGCAAAGGAGCTGGGAAATGTAGTCCTTACTGTGGGAAGCCATGCTTCTAGTATTAAGGAAATAGGGGGAAACATAGTTGGTAGTAATGAACAAGTCTGTGTCACTCAAGGGCAGTGGTGGAGTCAGGATTAGAACCCAGGGCTGTCTGTCTCTGATGCCTGTGCTCTTACCCACCACGCTGTAGCGTCTCAGTGTCCCCATCTTGAAAACAGGGATGGTATTCTTGTGAGCCACCTATCTTGGAGGTAGTTGGGGCTCATCTGAAATCACAGGGATAAAAGGCTTTTGTGAGAGGCAGTCAAGTTCTCACCCTCAGCTCTCTGCAGGAGCCACGTCTATCGGAATAATTTGCTATTTAGCTTTTTGGAGCTTCTTAATTTACATCGCTGAATCTGTTGTGCTTCCGTTACAGGCTCGGCTGCCTGTGAAGTGGATGGCGCCTGAAAGCATTTTCAACTGTGTGTACACATTCGAAAGCGATGTCTGGTCCTATGGGATTTTTCTGTGGGAGCTGTTCTCTTTAGGTAAAATGATTCTTGCCAAAGGCACCTTCATAGGCTCAGAGCATCTTCTTAAGGTTTTGCCAGTGTCCTGCCTTCTTAGGATTAACACTGAACTGCAAACCATTTGTGCCTCAGGAAGCAGCCCGTACCCTGGAATGCCGGTCGATTCCAAGTTCTACAAGATGATCAAGGAGGGTTTCCGGATGCTGAGCCCGGAGCATGCACCTGCTGAAATGTAAGGGCCCGGGCACTTTCCTGCAGATTACGTTTCCCCTTTCATTTTTATTTTTAAAGACAGAAACCCAGATGTTGAGGGTTTTCGAGTAGGCCAGTTTGAAATGTCACTTGGTTCCTGTTTAGGGCATCCTGGTCAAAAGTCATTTCTGTAGCTTATTTTTATAATCTGTTGTCACCAAATACACAGAACGTTTTGGCAGCATTTCATACACAGAGTATGCCATGCAGTCTGTCCAGGTGCCCAGCCTGGAATAATTTTTCAAACAATTGCACGGCGTACGCCTGAAGCCAGGTGAAGGGCACTGAGGAGTGATGGCCAACGGCCCTCATTTTGCAGGTATGACATAATGAAGACTTGCTGGGATGCTGATCCCCTGAAAAGGCCGACATTCAAGCAGATCGTTCAGCTGATTGAGAAGCAGATTTCAGACAGCAGCAACCATGTGAGTACAGGCCCAGGTCTCCCCTCTCTGTCCCAGGGTGTCCTCCTCCTCAGGCTCTGGGGGTGAGGACGCCCCTTCCCACCCCTTCTCTCCTTGGCTTAGGTTGTAAATAGGACTTTGGATGGGAAAGTAAAGGAAAGGAAACAAGTTCTTTCTGCCTAACCCCCTGCTCTGAGTCAAAGAAGGGTGTGAGATGGGGCAGGAAGAGAGTGAGGGCTTTGCATTCAGAAGTGTGGAAGTAGAAGTTCCCATAAGGATTTGCCACTTGTCCTCCCCCACCCAAATGCTGGTCATGGGGTCTGCATGGGCTCTCTCACATGTCAGGGCCATTCAGCCTTTGGAGGGTTGGGCTAATGTGAACTAGAATAAAAGCGTAGAAGAGACAGCTTGTTGGTGCAGTGGGATGAGCTTCTGCTCAAACAAGCGTAACCAGAAAATGGCACAGAGCTGTGTGCCCACAAGCCGAATAGGATGCAGAGTTGTTTGAAGTTGGGAGGTCCTCCCAGCGATTTGGGGAGGGAGGAAGTCAAAGCCCAAATCCATTATTTCTTCTGATTTTAAGAAAGACAGTGATCCTTACTTTGCCTCGGATTTTTTTTTAAGTTGCTCTTTTTCTGGATTTGGGCTTGGAGCTGTCTTTCTTTTTTCTAAGCATACACCACTGGTATTTTGGGGTGAAAGCTTACTCTTCTGGGTGGCAAAGCATATTTCAAATCAAACAGCATTTTCCACCCAACTGCTTGATTCTCAATGGAAGGGCCACCGCTTTCTCAGTAAATTACATCAGCTGTTGGGTTGTGGTTAGCTACCTAGATTTATAAACCTTTTAAATAGGTTAGGTAGTACCTGTTCTAAAAGTGTCCCAGCAGAAAAGCACTTTTTTGTTTTTTGTTTTTTTGCCCTCACTTCCTACATCATCAGGCCTTGGGGAAAAGGAGAGGTAAACAAACTTGCATTTTCTTTTGTCAGTATGATTTGGGCTGCAAATGCCTTTAAACTCTGTGTAAGAGTCCCCCTCAAGTTATCAGGCATTCTGAAGCTACCACAGTGCCCCATCGTCACTGTGTTCGGGGTGAGGATTAGTGCATTGACTGTGGGCTTGTTTTCCTCAGATTTATTCCAACTTAGCCAACTGGAGCCCCAACCAGGAGAACATCGTGGTGGACCACTCTGTGCGGATCAACTCCGTGGGCAGCAGCACCTCGTCCACCCAGCCCCTGCTTGTTCACGAAGACGCCTGAAGCAGAGCACATGCCTGGGGTCTCCCCGACATAGTGATCCCCATTCTTGTTTCTATTACTGTTTTGTTCGACTTGCATCCTACTCCCAGAAAATGGACACCCCACTGTAATCCCGTCTTTATGAGCACACTTTAGTGGCCGATGCTTTTTGTCATCCGCCCCTATCCCCTTGCCAGGCCAGGGTTCAAACTGCATATATTCCCAATAGCAGAGTAGCTCCTGGTAACAACAACAACAACACATCTGAGTTGGAGAAAGGGAGTGTGAAATGGGTTTTAGGCACCTTGAGTCCTTTCTGAGCCTTCTCTAGTTTCTGTTCGAAAAGTAAGATTGGTAGTGTATTTAAATAAATGGCAGTAGTCACCTTCAGCCCTTGTAGCCATCCATAATGACATGATGGTGCAGTGAGATTAGAAGCTGAAACCTAAGCCCCTGATGTGGAAAATAGAGCGTGACTGGGACAAAGGTCAGAAGTCTATGAATGTCTGGGCTTAAGAAATCTACTTCATGATGGGAATGAGACGTAGACCATGAAAAAACACTCCCTGAGCCTGAATGGAGACTTGCTGCTGAGCCGTAAGCCTCTGTCCTGCTGACCTGCTTTCTGGCCAGTTAGCTGTCAGGGTGCTGGATTGGAGAGAGGGCCTCCCCCATTCAGGTTGTATATACTCATCCTGCAATTGTACATGTTCATATACCTGAGGGAGGAAAACCCACAAGGTGTCTTTCTGGATGTGACTCTGCTCAAGTCTGCTGTATGTAGGAATAGATACAGAGCCAGGCAGGTGTGAAGGACACAGTTAGTGCTTTTTTTATTTTTTAAAGAAAAACCATAATTGTTAAGCACAATCTTAAGAACAGTCTTCTTATGTAGCCGTGGAACTTGCTGTACAGATTCCCCAGAACACGCCTATAGCTTCAGAATGGCATTGTGCTCAATGGATTTGATGCCACTTGAAAAAGATTCACTGCATGACTCCGGCAGGAGTGAGAAAACAGTGCTGTCTTGGTTTGGATGCTTCTGTAGCAGGAAAGAAAATTTAGATTCAGGCTCCTTTGCAGACATGTCTTGGACGCTGGGCCAGTATCTATATAAAGTGTGTATGTGTGCGTGCATGTGTGTGCTTATAGACACATCTTTTGGGCGGTATTTTTGCCCTGAGCCCAAGAGGGTCCTTAGTACCCAAGAAGTAGCTTGGCTTTCATTGTCCATATACTGCTCTTCGTTCCCTTCGCCTTGCTGTCCTGAGAAGCTTACCAAAAGCTCACATAGAGGCATGTAGGAAGCCGAGTGCCTAAAGTACCTATTTATTTGCAATCCACCGCCACTTAAGGCACTGCGTTATTTATACTCGACATACTGTACTCGTTCCTTAGACCTTATTAATGCTACTCTCCCACTGGAATGTATTTAAATTTTACCCTTTAGGTTGTAGCCTGGATATTATTCTTAGTTTACCTTCTCTTTCATCACTGCCCAACTACAAGAGGTCCATGTGGTACATGGCAAGGCTTCTGTGTTGTCTTGCAAGATGCAGGTCTGCTGCCTTCACGGTTCCCCCTTCCTAGTCCCTTAGGTGACATGTAGAGAACTGTGGCCATTTATCTGGAAGTAACCATTTGCACTGGAGTTCTATGCTCTCGCACCTTTCCAAAGGTAACCAGTTTCGGGGTTTATTGTCAACGTAAGAGATTGTCGCTGTTTGCCATACTTGGAAAATTTCCTTTGCGTTGCTGTTGACTTCAATTAGAGTAAGAAAAGTGGTTAACTGTAGATGTCTAGGTACTTCAGGGGCACTTCACTGAGAGTTTTGTCTTGGATATTCTTGAAAGTTTATATTTTTATAATTTTTTTTTGTTACATCAGATGTTTCTTTGCAGTGGCTTAATGTTTGAAATTATTTTGTGGCTTTTTTTTGTTTGTAAATATTGAAATGTAGCAATAATGTCTTTTGAATATCCCCAAGCCCATGAGTCCTTGAAAATATTTTTTATATATACAGTAACTTTATGTGTAAATATGGAAACAGTGCAAGTTTAAAGGATGTTGGTGTTCTATGTGTTTTTTTCCTGATATGTTGTCCAACTGTTGACAGTTCTGAAGAATTCTAATAAAAATGTAAATACATAAATCAAGTAAATTGTTTGATTATTTCAAGCTGAAATTAAACTTTTAAGTGGTAAGGTGTACTCACCTGGACATTAGGACGTTTTGTGCCCAGTGTGCACAGGATCGATGCCAGACTCAGACCACTAGGATTTACATACTTGAAAATTTAAGACATTTATTAAGGATTTGATGTGTGCTATATTTTCTTATCCTATTCTTAAAATTCATGGTCTTCATTTACATTGAAAAATAAATATAGAAAATGTTTGGCCGAAACCGGTTTGGCTCAGTGGATAGAGCGTCAGCCTGCGGACTGAAAGGTCCCAGGTTCGATTCCGGTCAAGGGCATGTACCTGGGTTGCGGGCACATCCCCAGTAGGAGATGTGCAGGAGGCAGCTGATCGATGTTTCTCTCTCATCGATGTTTCTAGCTCTCTATCTCTCTCCCTTCCTCTCTGTAAAAAATCAATAAAATATATTTAAAAAAAAAAAAAAAGAAAATGTTTGGAGAATTCTACACATCACTATGATTATTGTTAGGTTGACTGATATGGAATGACCATTTTTGTGGGCAAAATAATGGTCAGATAGTAACAGTTTTATGTGACTTCAGCTAATATAACTGGCATGTTTCCTTCTACAAGAGACTGTCTAAAACATGAATTAACAAGGTTGACATGAGGAGTCTCCCACGCAAGTGGTTTGTATTCTTGTTGCTTGGGTTTTGAAGAGAAGCCAGTTCAACTTGGGATGTTCCTGCCCCACCTTTCAATCCTCACTTGCTTCTAGAACTGAGCGAAGTTCTAGCACTCGCTTGGCAGGAGGTACTTCTGCCTGTGAGCTCAGGGCCACCTAGGGCTGGAGCATCCTGGGTGATCAGGAGGTCTTGTCCAGAGCAGCGGATCCTGCATACAGCCTGTGAATTCTCCCAGCTTGAAACCAAGAACCACCCTGAACACGTAATCCTATTAAGAGTGTGTTAGGCACACAAAACACCATCAGTCTCGATTTCCTTTATTGACGTGGCATCTACCCCTGCAGAAGTGTCTCCTGGGGGAAAGGGAAGGGGGAAAGGTGACCTGTAATGAAGAGGAATCTTTTTAAGGGAGGGAATTGTGTGGCCAGGAACATGTCAATAATCAGTGAAAAACTGACCACAGTTCAGTCAGGTGGTTTTCATTATTTCAGACAGGAATGAATGTTAACTGACCACAAAACAAGTCATTTCTGAGTGTTTCCAGTGCCATTTGGATTTTTTCATGTGAGCGAAATCTTGAGTTAGAAGCAGTCCACTGCCCCTGTACTTTTAGTCTGTAGCTATGTCCCTCCATAGCCCAACTTTCAATAGGAAAGTTTGGTCCAGGCTCAAATTGGGTTCAAATATTTTTGCTACTCCTGTCTCTACCACTTGCTGCTGTGTGATATTGGGCAGATTAGCTCTTGAAATCTCAGTTCCTGTAATAGTGGTATCTACTTTGATGTACTAATATGAAGCTGTCAAGACTGCCTTGTTTGTATATATACATAGTGCTCAAAAATCGTAACTTTGGTCATGGCTGATTAGTCTTAGTAGGAAGCAAGAAGATACCCCTATACCTGTGGTCGGCAAAACACGGCTCGCGAGCCACATGCTGCTCTTTGGGGCCTTGAGTGTGGCTCTTCCACAAAATACCACATGTGGGTGTGCACATACAGTGCGATTGAAACTTTGTGGCCCACGCGCAGAAGTCGGTATTTTGTGGAAGAGCCACACTCAAGGGGCCAAAGAGCCGCATGTGGCTCACGAGCTGCAGTTTGCCGACCACTGCCCTATACCAGCATAACTCAGTTGTTACCCCATAAAGAATTATGCAGTTGCCCTGGCCAGTGTGGCACAGTTGGAATGTCATCCTGTATACTGAAAGGTGGTGGGTTCGATTCCCAGTCAGGGCACATACCTAGGTTGTGGGTTTGGTCCTGTGGGTTGCATACTACGGAGGACAATCAATGAATGTTCTCTCTCTCTTTCTCTCTCCCTCCTTCCCTTCCTGTGCTCTCTAAAATCAATAAGCCTACCCTCGGGTGAGGAATGAAAAGGATTATACAGTCTAAAATTTTCTTCTTGTTTTTCTCTTCCATGCAAACGATATTGTACTAGTTTGCTTTGGAACTTGACTCATAGAGAGTTCTGTTTTATTAAAACCCCAACATTTTGGCTAGGAATTTAAGGCTCTCTGTTCTTGTCCCAGCCTTCCTTCTGGTCTTTTCCCCCATTACCATAGGCCCATTAATATACCCCACTCTTCTGATTCCACCCTCAGACTTCACATTCTGTTCTTTCCCAACAGCCCCCACCTTTCTCGACTCCTGGAGATTGCTCTGAGTTGCCATGGCGCTCCATACTCCTTACAATCTATTCTGCCTGGCAATGTAATTATTTGGGTTCTGGTCTTATCTCCTTACCCCACAGTATCCAGACTTAAAAAAAAAAAAATCCAATCAACACAAATACCTATATGTTCTAGAGTCATTGGCTTTATTATTTACTTGTTAAAATATTTAATTATCCAGAAACTCAGAGGTTCAGCTGCTTTGAGGTCAGTCATAAGAGGTTACAACTTGCTAACTCAAGTTCACTTACTAGTACCCAGAGCCAGAATCTGAATCCAGATCTGAGTCTCTGTACTTCAGTGATGGCAAATATCTGGTCTTCCCGTGCTGGCATTCCCCATCCCTTGTCCATGCGGCCATCACTCATCTCTCAGTACTCTCCCATGGGCCCGAGACACGTTAGGAGTCTAAATCTCCAGGAAGCCCAGAGGAATCAATTGGAGTTGGTCTAAGGGCAAACATACCTGTCACCTTTAAATCATTGCCAAGTTTTAGTTTTCTTGAGGCACAGGTGTTCTCTATCTCAGCCACTCCTGAAGCTGCTAGCACAGTGCTTCGTGCATGGTTAATTAATACACTCTGAATGAATAATTAAACATTCCATCGGCTTGGAGTAAGGGAAAGCCATCTGGGAGGAAATGGGTCCAGAAAAGATAGGAAACAGAAGAAAACACAACTTTCCCTCCAGAGTGGGACCTAGAAAGACCGCTTCACTTCACACTAGGCATGAGGCTTTGAGGAGAAGGGAAAGGGGAACCGGGAAAGTTCTTTGGGCAGCCGGCACAGCTGCTGTGTGGGAAGGAGAAGTAAAGGAGGACTGGGGTGCATGGGGAAGGGTGGAGGGGAAGGGAAAGTAGCAGAAATTCTCTTCCTTATTCAGAAGGTGAGGAAGGCCTTGAAGGTAACAAGAAGTCCTGGGCTAGAAGCTGAAGACTGAGGAGACCTCCCCGACCCCAGGCTTGACCCTAGGAGAGGGGCCTCAGGGCCAGCATTTCCACGGGGAAACGCCATCCAGGAGAGGTCTTGGGATCAGCTGGGCAGCCTTCCTTCAAGTTAATTTTTCTAAAGGAAGGATGTCAGTTTGCTAAGGCTGCTGTAACAAAGGACCACAAACTGGGTGTCTTAAAAACACTTACTGTCTCAGTTCTGGAGGCTGAAGTCCAAGATCAGGGTGTTGGCAGGGTTGGTGCCTTCTGAGGGCTGTGAGAGCACCTGGATTGCCTCTCAGCTTCTGGTGGTGTTCTGGTAATCTACAGTGTTCTTCGGCTTGTAGGTCTCTGCATTCTTTACATGCTGTTCTTCCTTAGTGTGTGTATCTATACCTAAATTCTCTTTTTATATAAGAACACCTGTCATGTTGGATTATAAGCCCACCCTATTCTAGCATGACCTCATCTTAGCTATATCTGCGGTGACCTTATTCCCAGATAAGCTCACTTTCTGAAGTACTGGGGGTTACAGTTATGACTTCAATATATTAATTTGGTGGGACTCAATTTAATCCATAATAGAAAAGTCTCAGAACTCTCTTCATTGTAGCAGGTGACTGTAGTCCTGAAATTGGCTCTGTAAAAACTCTAAGAAACTACAACAATGATCTCCAAGGTGTCAATTTCAGAGCACTCTTTTAGATTATTATATAAAACTAGAGGCCCAGTGCACAAAAATTTGTGCACTCGGGGGGGGGGGGGGAGAGGGGGGTCCCTCAGCCCGGCCTGTGCCCTCTTCCAGTCTGGGACCCCTCAGGGGATGACCACCTGCTGGCTTAGGCCCGCTCCCCGGGGGATTGGGCCTAAGATGGCAACCAGACATCCCTCTGGCAGCCCGGCAGCCCTCGGGGGATGTCCACTTGCCAGCAGGGAGCAGGCCTAAACTGTAGTCGGACATCCTTAGCGCTGCTGAGGAGGCAGGAGAGGCTCCCACCACCACCACTGTACTGGCAGCCATCAGCCTGGCTTGTGGCTGAGCAGAGCTCCTCCCATGTGAGAGTGCCCTGACCACTATAGGGCAGCTCCTGCATTGAGCGTCTGCCCCTGGTGGTCAGTGTGTGTCATAGTGACCAGTCATTCCCAGTCCTTCTGCTGTTAGGGTCAGTTTGCATATTACCCTTTTACTATATAGGATAGAGGCCTGGTGCACGGGTGGGGGCCAGCTGGTTTGCCCTGAATGGTGTCCAGGATCAGAGTGGGGGTCCCGCATGGGTGCCTGGCCAGCCTGGATGAGGGGATGATGGCTGTTTGCAGCTGGTCACACCCCCTTCAGGGTGGGAGTCCCCACTGGGGTGCCTGGCCAGTCTGGGTGAGGGGCTGAGGGCTGTTTTCAGGCTGGCGGGTGACTGAAGCTCCCAACCTCTCCTTTTCTTCTTTTTCTTTTTTTATTCTGGGATTTATTTACCTTCTATGGCTGTCACTGGAACTGAGAGCTGGCTTTAGCTCTGAGGCTCGGCTCCAGCTCTGAGACCTCAGCTGCTGAAAGCAGGTATCTGGGTTTGTTTGGCTTCTATAATTGCAACATTTTTTCTTAGAGTGCAGCTCAGAGGCCGGCAGCGGCAGGTGGGGAACCTTGGCTTCCTCCATCACTGGAGCAAGCAAGCCTCCCGTTCGCTTCAGCTGCCTGGCTGCAGGCCGCCATCTTGGTTGGCAGTTAATTTGCATAT